TCCCTGGAGGTGTTCAAGGCCAGGTTGGATGGGGCCCTGGGCAGCCTGGCCTGGTATTAAATGTGGAGGTTGGTGGCCCTGCCTGTGGTGGATGGGGTTGGAACTTGATGATCCTTGAGGTCCCTTCCAACCTTGGCCATTCTGTGATTCTGTGATCCTATGACTAATGCAAACAAACAAACAAAACCTTATGAAGTTACTTAGTGACATAGAATAATTGAGAAAACAGACAAAAATGGCATGGAAGAGACTTGGGCAGAGCTGCTGGTGAAAGCTGGGTGGTTTCTGAGTTAGCAGAAAAGAACTGACTTAGCTTTTCTTTTTCAGTGTTGATGAAATATGGACGTATCTCAATTAGGAGTCATAATTTAGTTTGCTAGGAGTTTTCCATTCTCCATGGGTACACTCAATTCTACAGCTCAACAAGTCATATACCCATTTTGTCTGCTCACAGAAGTTACCACAAGGCAGTATTTTTACAGACTACCAGCTGAATAGCACTAATTGCATCACACTAACTCCATTACAACTGACCAGTTTATTTGGAAGTGGGCTTAATTTCATTTCTCCATCATTACTGAAGTTATCAGATGATCCCAGGGAAGACGTTCAATTTCTTTACAGTAGCACACAGTTATTGGAGAGCACTTGTGGCTGCTGGTGGGGTTCTGTATTAAACTACTTCTTTAGGTAGCTTAACAATTAATGTGTGCCACGTGCTGGATAGGCTGAAATCGCTCATTTATTTCATCCTTTGTCAAAAAAAGTCTGCAACACGAGACACCAGGGCTTCATCTGGAATCCCAAACTCTTAAATGGAATGGTTTGGTTAGTGTCAGAACAGGAGTTAAATGGTAGACACGCATTGTGGACAAAAGGCTTTAGCCTACAGTTATTAATAATATGCACTTCTAGAACACTGATTTTGCTTTGGTTGCTCCACTGCACGCACTGACAATAAAGCTTGCTGCATTCTTTGGCTCTATGGCACTACCAGCTTTCATCCACTGTAACTTAACTACATCCAGAAAACAGAGATTGGGGATTTGTTTTTGTTTTTAGAGCCAATCCTGCAGCTCACAGACGTGATTTAACTACTCTTCAGCAATCCCAAATTCCTAAGATAAAAATGGAGACCTCTCTTGTACAAGTCCATTTCTTCCCAGGGAGGAAAGGAAATAGGGAAACCTTTCAAACATCTCCCCGTGTACAGGAAGGAGATTAGTCTGGCTCTCTGCTAAAGAACCTAAAACGAAGGATTATTTCTGAAGTACTCACAGCTTTGAAGATAATCAACTGTAATAACAAGATACGAGTTACAAAAAAATCCTTTTTCTTGAAAGCACTTTGGTAATAGTGCTTTTTAATAACCCTCTTAATGGCCGCATTAGAAGGACCCCAACTGAAGTCGTTCATCCCACATAAAACAAACATTGCTTTTTCTTCTTAGCTGTGTTTTACAAGCTGCATTATTTCCAGATGACGCTGGAGGGGCCCAAGAGTTTCGAGAATTAATGCTTAAACACACAGCTGCTTTCTATTTACCATGTAAATTGAGGATAAATCAAAGAGGAATCTAAATATTGGGCTTCATTTGGTCCATTACCGAGCGCTGACTGAGGAGGATACGAAAAAGAAATAGAAAAATCCCATCACACAAATGCAAAGTTTACTTCTCGTTACTAATACCAAGGAATCACAGAATCATAGAATGGCCTGGGTTGAAAAGGACCACAATGATCATCTGGTTCCAACCCCTGCTTATGTGCACCACCAGACCAGAGCCACATCCAGCCTGGCCTTGAATGCCTCCAGGGATGGGGCATCCACAGCCTCCTTAGGCAACCTGCTCCTGACATGTGCAGAACTCCAAGGCTCCATGTAACACTGCTCTGCACAGCAGGTAACGTTAACGAGGTTGGGAAGGAGCCAGGGAAGGAGTCACTGCACCACCACACATTGCTACTGCAAACACGGCTTGCTGCATCCACATTCTGCATGTGTTCCCTTTGGATCGCCAACGTGCACTCATTGCTATACCCAACTAACAAAGACCCAACAAATTCTGGACAGAGTTTAAAGGATGGCTCTTCAGACATTTAAAGGAATGCGTTTGGGAGCATTATGGAAAGTCCAACTGCACTGCATTGCTTCCAGTGCTGACAACTTTGTGAAGTGCTGTTTTAGTGATAACCCTGCGTGGGAAATAACGATATAGGCACAAAATGGGTAATTGCTAGAATTTTTCCTCACTTTTTAAGCTTCATCCGGGTGGAGTTTGGGCTCCCCCTGCCACAAAGCCTTGGCCCCTGTGTTGTGTTAGATGATGCTGAAACAAAGGCAGAAACCTAATTAAAACTATGGAGCCCAATACACACCAAAGCCCCAAGGGATAATGCATGTCAAGCTATTTGAAACTGAAATTGTTCCTACTGCTGACTTTTCCACTTTTTTTTTTTTTCTTTTCTTTACGTTCATATCTTAAAAAATGAAACCAGGAGAAACCATTGATACACACACCTAAATAACTTCTCTTTATATGAAAAGAAGCAACACTCCCCCACTTTCCTCGTTAAGTTAAACTTAAATTTTGTGGACTGTTTTTTCATTGAACCTAAGAAAGCCATAAACAAAACAGAGTGGATTTGTCCTATTTCTTTGTATTGGAGAATACTGGAGATACTTATGGACAGGAGAAACTTGACAGAAACGTATTCCAAAGCTGTAATTATTTCTATGACTTCTTCCTGCATCTGAATTGCACTGCACACAGCTCATAGGGGCTTTCTGCCTTACAGGACCACGAACTTGATCTGACCTTACAACGAAATAACTTGCTCTTTTCTTACTAAAGCCCAGGAAACCTCAGCAAGAACAATTAGCTGGGTCAGTTCCTTATTGGGGTTCACAGCAAAAATACCCACAGCTTTGGTGTATGCCAGAGCTGCAGAGCCAGGGGCTGTAGGGCCACGAGGGGCTGTATGGCCATGAGGGGCAGGAGGGCCATGAGGTCTCCTCTCCCCTCCTCTTCTCCAGCCCACAGCATACACAGGATGACCCCAAGAAATATGGCGATGGGGGATCCCAGATTCTTACAACTATCACAGACCAACAGGTATTAGGTCAAAAATCTTGCGTTTACATTAAAAAGCTAACTGTGGCAGAAACACCAGTTCAAACACTGAGAGATTAGGATTTCTTTAGCTCTACGCTTGGACAGTGGTCAAACACAGATAGAAAAAGAGAAAATCCTTCAGCCAACATAGAATCCAGGACTCCAGTCCATGATGTTATCTCAGCTCCCAGCTCCTTCACTCCTCATGTTCCTTACAGCATTCTTGCAGCAATATAAATGCAAACAAACAACTGTTCTTACAAACAACATAATCATGGGCTTTCAGAAGCAGAGTGTCCTTCAGCAAACGACATCTTGCTGCCACTGTTATTTAGACAACTGACAGTGCCTTACACTAAGTTGCCATGTGAGCAATTTGGGAAAACAGGCATGCATGGGAGCGTGCATTCTTTTCTCAAAATACAGGCAATAAACTGCTGTGATTTTATTATCCCCTAAAGCAACCTTTCCAGTTGCTGTCCTTCTCCTCCCCTGCCTCCTTCCCTACATCATAAAAAGGAGAAGGGGAGTTCTTCCTCAGCAGTGCTCCACAAAGGGCAGTTCTCAGCTGTATCCACCTGCGAGGGGATGGGTTGATGGTTGGACTTGATGATCTCAGTGGTCTTTTCCAATCTTAATGATTCTATGAGTTTGCGAAGCCAGTGTTAAAGGTGTCTGCCCTATTCTCAAGGTATCTGGACACAACTTGGTTGACCAAAAGCTCACGGTGTCTCTGAGTGTGGTGACTGCAGATGTTCTGTGACACTGCACAGAATGAAGTGAGCTTGGACGTGCAGCTATTAAAGCCATCATCTCTACCAGCACAGCCCCCTTTTGCCTGGAAGCCCCACAGCTTTTCAGGACAGATCAATGAAGTGCCACAGACCAAAGGAGGAGTCAGAATGCGCAGCAGTGTAATTGCTTAAGCTGGAAGCTGGCAGGAAATGGAGGTTAATCACCTCTTAGCAATGCAGCCCCAGAGCCTTATCAATCCCAGCAATCAGGAACACTGAACGCATCCCAAATATGTGACTCCTCACAGCTGTGGCCCTACATCATCGAATCCTCCTCAAGTTACCCAAAGGCTCTGGGGCATTCCCATGTCCATGCTGTTGCAGATGGAAGAAGCAGAGTGGGTCACCTTACAGGACAAAGAGCAGCAGCATCCCCTGCCCCAAACACAGAGCAGAGAGGGGGCCTCGCTGGGACCAAAGCTGCTGATAAATGGAGGGTCAGCTCGTGGGACAGGAACCACAACCCTGTAATGAGTGGTGCTGCAAGGGGCTCCGTGTGAATTAAGGCATCATCAGGCAGACAGAATACACTGATCTGCTCCCTGAATTACAGAATGCCTCCAGTTTTCATGGTAGTGACAGCAACAGCAACTAGAAGACAGAGGTTAAGAAACCTGGCTAGCTGAACTCATGTTATCAAACTTTTACATCAAATTACCTTTGTTGGTACTCATGTGCTAGAGCGCTGTGATACGTCATGCATCAGAGAGCCATGTCCTAGAATACGCACTAACATCCAAAATAAAAGAGCTGTTGCATTTTCAATCTCAAAAATTGGCAGTAACTGATAGAACAGGACAACTCTTTTAGACAGTATTACAGAGAAACTTCAAAGTTTATTTTAATGCCCTTCAATAGAAACGGCTTGAAAACTGCACACTGACAGGGTGTCTTCCCAGCTCTCAGGAGCCATGGTTTTGTTTTGCTATTTGTGTCTTTTTTTTTTCAGACGTTACATCATTTATGCAGGTTCTTATGCGTTGGAGTTGGTGGTTGCTGAGCTGTCACACGTTCTGATAAATCTTTGCAGATTTATGGTTGTACCTCTCATATTTTGGAGCATCCAGTACAACATGAAGCTCGATACTTACATAGTCAGGAAGTGGAGACTCACTGGAATCAAGGGAACCTCTCAAGGACTGCGTGGCCTGTTCCAGCACTTTGTTGTGCTTTTTAGACAGTAGAGAAAATAAGCTGGAGGAGAGAGAAAAAAACAAACAAATTCACAATAATGGTCTGAAATAGACAAAGCAATCAGAAGAGGTGCTTTACTATGTGCACTAACATGAATGTGGAGAGTTTTTAAATGCAGTGTATAATAGTTACATGTATGTGTCTATATAGACACATCTGAGTTAAGCAGCAGTAGAATGTGAACTGGAGCTATTCTACAAAATAAATGATATAAAGATCATCATATGTTCGATTCTAAGTTCTTTAACATCAAACTTTAACATGGTACACACTTAATTTTAGTTCATAACCAGGGTGAGTTTGTTAAAATCTATTTCTAAAGTGCAGCATCACACACAGTGTATTTATTCTCCTTAATAATCATGAGTATTTTTCAGTTCAATAACCTAATTGCTCAGGATAGGAAGAATCCCAGTGTGTGTCAAAGCCTTGGTTATTTGAAGGCTGAGGTTTTGTATTTTACTCATACATATTGTTTTCACATTCATCTCAGCTAAAGTCCAGGAGTATAGCATTACACTAGCTTTATAAATAACCAGTGTGAAATCAGAGGTCCATACACATACAGAGAAATAAATGTCATCTCATGCATTTAGAAAAAACAACACCCATTGTTCCAAATTCTACCTGTTTTTAGTAAGCATGCCCACATCACTGAGATGGACTTTCACTGCAAGACACCATAAGACAGAACTGAATACTCAGAATCAAAGGTGAGCATTCAGGACCTCATCAGGCTCTCCTAGGACGACTCTATTGGTTCTCTGAGGGTAAAACAAACTGTTCTGATGAAAATAAAAGCAACCACCAAACAACATTCACTCATGCCCAAAAGCGCACTGCCCCTTGGGGTTGGTGACGTTGCTCTTGGGACACACACAAGCAGCAGACTCTGTGCTCACCAGATTCAGTTAGAAAGGATTCAAGTCAGTGTAATAAACAAAGAAGTGGCTAATTACTGCCCCGGGTTATACTCTCGACAGCCACTGCCTCTTGGAACAGGATGACAACTTCAGTGCTCTCAGAAAGCTTTTCTGCCTAAAGAAATGGTGGCCAGGATTTGAGGAAGCCCTCTGTTTTCACCTTCAAATATAACACCGATGTCGAGTCCCTTGCAGCCTTAGATAGGAGATACTGATAGCAGATATCAGTGCTTGTTCTCCTTCCTTGCCAGCCAAGAGTTACAGGAGAAAGCTTTTCCAGCACTTCTCAGAGCCACAAGGAATTACCTTGTTTCTGAAGCCCAGACCTTCTATCTTGAGAGCCAACTCAATTCCACCATTTCTTGACGCCTCTTCAGTCAGACTCTTCTTAGAGCAGAACAATAGCTTATGTTGCAGCACTTAAGACATCACCCCATAGGAGCCCTTTGGGGTGTCACGCCATCCCCAAGTTCAGCCAGCGTCTCCTAGGGCCAGGAACAGCTGACACTGGGACCAGTGACGTTGGTGCTGAACCCTGCTGTGATGGGGATAACCTCAGCTGGAGCGATAGGGACAAAATGCCCAGTGAGATTACAGAACATCTGTGCTCATTGTAAGAACTGAGAAACATTTGGTGTTATTAGCATAACATGATGTACTTGACGTCATGAACCCTGGAATCGTAGTTTCTCCTTCATGCTGTCCAAGAAAGCCCTCACCAGAGGAATCAAACGATGGAGACCTAGAACGATGGATTCCTGGAATCACAGAATCCTAGAATGGTTGTGTTGGAATACATGGGGCAAAAGTCAGCCTTCCACTAGTTCACAACTATTAGCTAGAAACACCAACTACTCATTAAACAGGGAAGAAGCAATGCAGAAATACCTCATTAACAGGATTTCTATCTTCTACCCTCCTGCACTCAACTGTTGCATTCACAGACTGTAATGCTTGCTCCAAACAAAATCTGGATTTGCAGACCGGTCCCTCCGCTGCACAGCAGTGCTGCTTTTAGGTAGTTCTGAAGGCTCAGTCAGATTTCAGAGATGCTGCCATCAGCACCATCTAGTGCTGTGGAGATGGAACAATCAGTTAAAGCCAACCTGGTGATGCTTACTGGGGATGCAGCAAGGTTAAACCTGGGGCCTGTCTGCTCCACAACTTTATTCCTCAAAGAAGACGACCACAGAATTGTATGAAATAGGATGTCCAGCAAGCAGTATTTTTCACCAAAACGAATAAAGCGTTTTGGCTTTGCGTGCAATGTAAATATAAAACAAAACATTGGGATCAGATTTTGAATATTCAGTCAATATGACGAGAAGAATGCACACACATCAGCAGTCTGCATTGAACGGGAACAGCAAAGAGCAAATTCATCTTCTCTGGCAGAACGGAGAAAAATGGGAAGGAGAAGGAGAAAGAAACAAAGAACATTTCTTTACACCTTATTTTTGCTTCTTTTTTTTACTTAAGTGTAATTAAGTAAAACAGAGTGCTCGTTTGCTGCACAGGCAAGCCCTCAGTGGCTGGGCTCAATATCTGAAGCAGCAGTGAGCTCTGCTATACATTGTCTTTGGCTCTGAGGCTTCCCCTTGCCAAGTTTTGCTTTCCTGCTGCAGCTCATTGACTTTGCAGCTGTGCTGAAGCATTTCTTTGTGGAATCGCTGCCCAGAATGCCAATATTGAGGTTAAAATAGCCAGTTTTCTTCATCACCAATGGCTTATCCTTTGGAGAGAACAGTTCCTTGGAGGAGTCGCTCCAACATGTTTTTAAAAGTTCAGCATTACTTAGAGCCACTAGAAGTCATTTCACAAAGTTTAACTCATGGAGGTCTTTGATTATGGACAAACGTTGCCTTTTAAAGGTACTTGGTTTGTGATGGTCACATCCTCAGTGTATGGAAGGTTTAGGGATTATTTTTGACTATTAAGGCAAGAAAAATGTAATTAAAAAGTGGAAAAAATGCTTTACTAAGTCAAAGTTGTTCTCCCCCATTACTGGGTAAGTGGGAAAACGGTGGCAATTCATGCACAGGTGGGAATTAAGAATGCCTCCAAAGCTGGTATATATCCCAGATCAGCAAATCACATCGTGGAGAAACTGAGCCAACAGGAATGACTTTGGGCTGAAGGAAAACCTCAGCACAGAATGACAGAATCATTCAGGTTGGAAAAGGCCTACAAGGTCCCCAACCCTGACCCACCCCACCAAGCCCACTGACCATGTCCCCAAGTGCCACATCTCCGAGGTTCTTGAACATCTCATTCTTCTGATCTTAGGAATTATGAAATCACTGATTTCTTAACTCCTTCTATAAAGATGAAGCATTTCTAGTTAATTTAATACAAGGCTGAACCTCACCCACTAAGTGATTACAGACTGAATAGTAATGGCTGCTTAAATGCAAGTGATTTGATTATGTGCTATTTGCACACATAATAAAATTCAAACCAGTAATATATGAACTTAACACTTTCAAAAAGTCAGTTCCAAGCAGCCTGTGGATTCAAAAAATGCAAATAATGGGAACTCACTGAACAGCTTTCCTCTTGGTCCACCAAAGCCACAAGCCAACAATCAATAAAAAATCCTAAGCATCTGCAATTTCTGCAGCAAATCTAATTTACAGCAGATTGAAGTGGCTTACAAACTCTGTTTCTCACGTATAAAGAAAAAAAAATAAATGAATGCATAAAATGAAGCTTTTAAAACAGTTAATAAAAGATAAGGGAATTAAACTTTAAGGTTGAAGGTAAATCTGAAGACAGTATTTGCCAGAAAATGGCTGAAGGAGGAAAAAAACAAAGACAAAAACAATGACTAAGTTTAAATATCATGATATTTTAATGCATATTAAAAGGGACAAAATAAACAGACTATTATTACCGCGCTAGTAGACGAAAACAACAGATCTCTACAGAACAATGCTGAAAAAAAAAAAGGGCATATGTCCCTTAATCGCTTCCATTACACAAAGAACAAAAGGTCATATGCATTCAGAAATGGTAAGCAAGTGGTTTGCAGCAGAACAGTTACAGAATAGCTCATAAAGCCGGACAATTAAGCTGACAGTCCTGTTAACTCCAAAATACAGGAGTAAAGTAAAATGTATTGTAGAACTCCCTGTGGCCTCCCACTACTTACAGTTTTAAACAGGAGGGAGAGCCACTTCTTTGCATGGTCTGATAGTGACAGGACAAGGATGAATGGCTTTAAACTAAAAGAGGGGAGACGTGCAGCTCCAACAGCAGGATGATGGAAACAGGGCACCTCTAAGGTCCGCTCCAACCAAGGTTAGTCTATGGTTCTATGACCCAACACAATTACATGCCAGTTAATCCAGTGCATAATAATGGAACACTAATCATGAGATTCATTCTAAACAGGGCTTGCCAAGCTCATTCAGTAACGAGACTAGAAATAAAATACAGCGAGACAGTGCCAATATTGAAGCAGGTTTCTACATGTCATTTGTATGACTTTGTTCCACGTGGGATGTTTTATTAAGAAACTAGATTGACAAAAAGCAATATGGCATGTTTTAAACAAAGGGGAAATCAGACACCTGAATACTCTGAAAAATCCCCAAGTTTCCATCTTTAAATAAGTTTTCGCAGTTGGGTTACATTCTTGGCCCCTCTACCTGCCAGCAGCCATTTAAGATTTGCCAGTGTTGCTGAAATACAGTGAGATAGAGATGATATCATTGGTACACATCAATGATAAGGAAATACTAATACTAATACTCCATAAATTCATTGTAGGAACTTCAGATAAAGAGAAAAGAGCATTGTTTTGGTGGGGTTTTATTTATTTATTTATTTATTTTTAATTTTTTATTTCTTGTCTTTCAATTTTTGAGAATTATTGAGGTTGGAAAAGTTCACTAAGATCATCAAGTCTAATGATTAAGCCACCACCAGAGGAATTCCAGACCAGGAGGAGGAATTAATTGCACAAAGTTCCTTTGGTCTGTGGTACAATGGAGGTCAGACAGTATGAGCCATGCGGTCTCTTTTGGATCTGAGAACACATGCATTCAGGTAATGCATGCATTAGAAGAGATGGAA